TTCGTTTCGTTTCGTTTCGTTTCGTTTCGTTTCGTTTCGTTTCGTTTCGTTTCGTTTCGTTTCGTTTCGTTTCGTTTCGTTTCGTTTCGTTTCGTTTCGTTTCGTTTCGTTTCGTTTCGTTTCGTTTTGTTTTGTGTTGTGTTGTGTTGTGTTGTGTTGTGTTGTGTTGTGTTGTGTTTTGTTTTGTTTTGTTTTGTTTTGTTTTGTTTTGTTTTGTAAAAAAAATAACAGCCTCTCTCATTATACACATGGCGCCCCCTCGTGGCCAACTTATGCAACTTTAGATGCAGTACACGTACCTGCTGGGATAATATCGCGTACAGACAATAAGCAGATCCAGTATGGTAGCAGCGAGCGCACTCTCGTCCATGACGGGCGCGCCGCGGGCCACCAGCGTCCACTTGAGCTGCGGCACACTGCCCACCGCGCGCCAACCTTCCATACTGTTCGCCCAGCACTTTGTCTTATTGTTTATCTCCCCGGATTTATACAGATCCTTCAACTGGAACATATAATTTAAAATAATTACCACTATGTAATAACAAAAGCCACCATCTTTCATTTCAAAAGTGCATGTAAAAAAATAATTGAACTATCGAATCTAATTGAAAAATATCCCTTATTGTTGGTTCCTGTGACCAAAATAACTCAATCACATATCGTTATCTCTGTTTTGGTCATAGATAATGAGAGGGACGACTCAGCAACCAACGATTAGTCGAATAGTTTAATTTTTATTGCTCCACGACACTAGGGCATACGTTCGCCCCAATCCTAACAAACTGCTACACACCAAAACTGTCATGTAGTTGCGAATAAACGCAAACGTGTTCGTGCGCATACGTAAGTGCGTACACGTGTCTATGTGAACTAACCTGTTGCAGGCTGACGGGTCCCTTGCGGTGCACCTTGTCGGGCATCTCGAGGTTGTAGTACCACTCCCTCTCGCCGGCGCCCGCCTGCTGCGCGCCTGCCTCCAGCACATTGCTCTGAGCGGGCACGGTAGCTCGCGACGTGTGCAAGTGAGCCAACGTCATTAGTTCCACTAGTATCCTACAAATAGTAATCAGCTGTACATCTACCTATTTAAAAACAGTCAATAAACTTTTTTTTTAAAGAACACTACGATTTTTTAAAATCGCTTACCTGATGCCATTCCATTCTAATATCTCGCTAACATTTTTCTTATGTAATATTAATTTAGCTAGGAACTGTACTAGTCTATCTCTCTCCATTCTATCACATGTCTGTAAAGTTAGACACAAAGATATTAAAAGACTTTTCTTGTTTAAAATAAATTATTGAGAAGTAAAGCTTCTTACTCTATCTAACATTTGAACGATATATTTGGTATCTGCGAAGGGGCCGATGTCTTCGTAATATCTGCCATAAACAATAGTCATGGCCTGAAGACACATGCATTTCATTTCCACTTTAGGAGTAGATAAAAACCGATGGTAGAGATCGTTGAAAAACTCGTATCTAGAAATATAGAAAAAACGTAATTAATATGAAATTAAAAATTGGAAGTCCACCAACAACATAACACATTTAATTATTATGTCAACTGCCTAAAAATGATCAATTTTTATTAATATATTAATTTAAATTTTATAAAAAAAAGGAAGTAAAGGAATTTTACTGTCTATTGCCCATCCCAGGCAGTGGGTAATGGGCAGTGTCCACTCTGGATAGTGGACAATGGGTGTTGTCACTCTGTGTGTGGGCAGTGGACAGTGTACTCACGACTTGCGTATGGGGCTGTCGTCGTTATCGCGCTGCTCGAGCAGTATCCTCAGGTAGTAGTCTCCGATCTTGACTTCATTCTGCAGGCACTGGTAATGCACCTCCAGCTCGGCGTGGTTCCATGACGTCAGCGCTCCGCCCGCCACCTCGCGGTCAGATGTGAACGCGCGCAACTCATTCTCCAACGCATTACGCAACTCTTCGCGAGTCTAAAATTATTTGTCAAGTTATTTAAAACCAGTTTACTTATAGCTAATGTTTTATGAAAATTATATTCCATTTTTAATTAAAACTCTATCCCTACAAAATATTGTTATCTCAGATTTCTCAAGGAGAATAAGAGGGATGACAATATGTTTTTGTACGAGTCTATTGGTAGTAGAATCACAGGGTAACAAAGACAAAATGTATGAACACTGTTACATTTTCAAATCAAAGTAAAGAAAAAAATTATGAAATATTCCTACGGTGTGATTCCATATAAGATTCGGTAAAGCGTGATCCCGATGGAACTGGTAGTAGAAGAGAGGCCAGTTGTATGTAGACTTGATGCACTCTCGTCTGCGGCGCAGCAGCACGGGCCGCTCGCGCCGCTCCCCCGCCGCGCCCCCCGCACCTGCTGCGCCCGCCGCCGCCCCCGGCACGCCCAGACTGCGCGCGCGCTGCGCCCAGTGCTGCATCGCCAGCGAAGCATAGTGCTAAACGAACATTTAAAAATATTTTTAGATATTTTCTTGAACATTGCTATATATATTATATTTAATCATTATTAGATACAGGCAACACCAAAAAAATTGTTCGGAACGATCCAAAAACCAAAACTTGTCAAAAATTCACATTCTTATTTGTAACACACCTTTGTCAAAAAGTCTTACTTCAATATGTTTCTCGACGTATTTGACTTGGCGCTCGAGGGCCTCCCAGTGCGGCGCGCGAGGCTTGACGCTCGCCTGCGCTAGCTGCAGGTTGTCGCGCTCCGGCACCTGCTCCCCCAGCGCGCCCGCCGGCGGTGCCTCCTTTGACTCCAGGAACGATAGCAGACCAGACGGCTGGGAAGTATAAATTTATTATAAAAAATACTCTCATTATGACTTTTTTTTAACAAAATATCTGCCACAATAACTCATTCACTTTAAAAGTTCAAAAAGAAATATATCGATTAGTACAGATGAATAATTTAAATAAAAATTATTAGTTACCATGATCCGCTGCAGCAGGTCGTGGGCGGGGGCATGATTGACGAGCCAGAGTGCGACGAGATGTCTAGCGAGATGTCGCAGATGCAGTCGCGCCGGCTGACCCGCGGGCTGGTAGAGCGCGGCGAGCAGGTGACGCGGGAGCGCCGCCTCCGCCAGCGCCAGCGACTGCATGCGCGCGCCCACTCCCCCGCCCCCCTCCTCCACCAGCGCACGCGTCACTAGCCCCGCCCCTTTCACTATCGCCAGCGATGGATGCTGCACAACAATACGGAACAATTTGTATTGGAGTTCCACTTAGTATATTTTTAGTACTTCAAATTGTTATGTAACCAACTAGCTTTTGCCTACGCCATGTCCTGCGCGGAAGAAAAAAAATGTACTAAGTAAGCAGTGCATCTTGCCAAATTTCATCGAGATCCGTTTAGCTATTGCGGAGATAAGTAGTCACAAACATCAGTAAAAAAGTATAAACAATGGACAGAGTACGGCAGTAACAAATTTAGTGTTACTGTTTAGAACTAAAATCGTTTAAACCAGCATAATATTCACCTCGAACAATTTGAATACGACACGTCCCTTGTTGGCGACCATCTCAAGCAGTTGGTCGAACTGTTTGCCGTCGGTGGTCTCGCTGTATGGCACGCACAGCGCAAACGTCAGGAAGTCCAACATGGCCGCCACCACCAGCGCCCCGCTGCCCGCATTCTGACCACATTAAATGACACTTATTAATAAGCGATTTACAACTTATTGACTTAATAAATAATGTATAAATAAACTCTTACACATATATAATTCGGTCATATGTTCCAAATCAATTGCCTGGAGTTCAAACATGGACGATTTTCGGAAGACAGGAAAATTTTACTCGTAGGTAACCCTTAAAACTTGTAGGCAATATCAATAACTGCCATAAGATCCTTGTGGGACTATATCTATTTTAATAGTAATATAAGAACAGTTATGTGTCGATGTTGCATGACACTGACCACATGCTCCGCCCACATGGTGAGCAGGCCGTCTAGGAAGGCGGGCGAGGAGAGCATGCTGGCCTTGTTGAGCTGCTCCTGGCGCAGGTCGGGCTCCGCGTGCATCGGCTGCATCAGCGCGCACACCGCGTCCAGGGCCGCGTGCGAGCACGCCGCTGAGTCACGCCGCAGCGCGCTCACTACCGCACTACCGATCCACTCCCGGAAACTAACGCACAGGAAATTTACTTGTTTTTTCTATTTTCTAAACAGTGGTATGACACTTTAAATAATAAGTTCAGTGTTTATTTCCTATAAAAGACTGAAAAAATAGACAAATAGCAACTGGAAAGAAAAAAGGAGCTGCAATATCTCTTCAAAAGGCTGATAGTCCCCTAACTATAAACAAAGACCCTTTCTGGTCGGCATTTGTAATGGTTGCAAGGATTAAATCTTATTATTTAAATGTATGCAAATCTTAAGTTTACTTTATTACAGTTGCATAAAAATGTATCGTTGTTTTTCAACTATGGTATTCACTTACCCTGGTAACGCTGTGAAAGCTGCAAATCCAACTTTGCTGGCACAAAGTCGTCTGAGCGCGTGGAACTGCGCCTCCAGCTCCCGCGGCGTCAGATGGCTACCAGATGGCGCGCAGCTCACCAGCGCCGTCAGCGCACCAGTTATCAACTTCTCCTTGTTCTCCGCGAACAATCTCTAACAACAATAACACCATCATGCCATACTATGCAAGCGTTAAGCCCAGTTTCCACTAGCGCGGACAGAGACATTCAGCTGTATTATAACCACGATATTTCTGCATAATTGACATCAGTGGAAATTCAAAATTTACATAGAATTATTGTTTGACATAGTAAGCACTCTTTCCATAATCAAATTGAAGGTGTACAACTTTTGTCTATATAAGAGATGTTTGATAAATAGCTTGATCAAACAAGTTTGTCAAACATGTTTGAACAAAATTGTGATTTTTCTAACCTATACAAAAATACCGTGGTTTGAATATACTGACAGTGCAAAAGTGATTACGATAGGTCTTTATTATTTACATATTTACAATAATAAAAAACTAATCTAAATGCTCGTTTTTTTTATTTACCACTACAAGATATTTGGATTGTTAAAGTTTCAACTTTAAGACGTAGAAAAGGTTTAAAGGATTGTGCAAATATTTTATTCAATCTACCTCGCCTTAAACAACATAGAATTAAAATGACATAAATAATTTAAAAGCATAAATTAAACTTAATCATATTTTGGGTACATTCATTTAAAATTCGGAGAATAATTTTTAAGTGAATACTTTTTATTTAATTTCTTTTGATAATCGTGACCAAATTTTTCAACCATTTCAATGCTATTTATTACAAAACACCCACAGTGACCATGACCTTGAACATATAGATATTTAAATAGAGATAAATAAACATTATGGGGACTTACAAGATCCCACGTAAGAAACAGCCACAACAGGGGACGGGCCTACAACGCATACAATACAATATTAACATGCCCCGCAGTACTATCACACAACTTATAACTACACAAGCAACAAAAAACTGCAGCTCATTATGACGTCATAATTCTGTATATCACCATCCCTTTCATTCACTTTGATAAAACAGAGACGAAAATTCAAATTCTAACGCAATCTCTTGCTAAAATCTCGTTAAAAATATATTGTTATCTCTGTTTTCTTCAAAGATAATGCCAGAGATGGAGATATGTTTTATAAAGAGATTTTGGTTTTAGAAACCATTGGTAAATGACGCATCATGATTTGTTTGACCATTAATCAATCCCTTAGTGTATATTAAAACTAAATCTACACTAAGCGAGTCCAGCGAGTGGCAGTAAGGATGTCAAACTGACGTACTTTAAATCGGATAACAGGCGTATTTTTTTGAACTGCAATTTTTTGTATTATGAAACGAATATGAATAATGTAAAAATGAATAATAAAACACATAACTCGACGATTCGTAACTAATTAGTAAATAAGTAAACTAAATGTGTACGTGTTTTAATGTAATCCAATTTAATAAAACACTGAATGTATGTACATGGACTGAGTACTCTATATAATATCTAAAATTTGTTATGAGCTTAAATAAATATAATTATCATTAGTTAAATGTACCATAAAATATTATAAAAAGATGTGGAATTTAATTCCGTAATTGCCACTTAACACTTTCAGTGCCACCGAAAAAAATCCTAACGGCATTGAAAATGTTAACATAAATGTGTGTGGGGAAGCCGGTTAAACAAGCTGCTGTGAATGTAATATGTTATTTATGCTGTTAAGTACATTTGTCTTCATGATAAGTAATAAATATTAGTAAAAACAACTAATCCCAAAGGTTCAAGATTCAACAATAACCTTGTAGACCGGTGACAGATTATTTTGAAATAATTTGATTATTTTGAATTAATTTGACACAACATTTTTTTAATTTTATTTTATGTCCTAATATGTTTATATTAGTACTGATCATAATACAGCCAATAACTCATAAATATATTTTTGACATTTTTTAAACTTTATATAATAAAATGGACTCATATATTTTTTACTTTTTTTTTTGGAAATTCTGTTTAAATATGTACTGTCATTTTACATATTAAATTATTTCATTTTTATTATAGTTTTTAATTATCTATATGTATACACATAGGTTATATATTTCCAACCATTATGATATTAGTATATTTATGTTAGTTTTAAATATGATAACAACAAACACATATAATATAGTAATACAATATACTTACGTCTTGACTAACGGAGTATATAAGGCCACTATAACCGACATTGGCGTTAAATCTTTCTATTACTTCTGCTGGTAACATGTCACCTGGATTCTGGAACAATCTGAAAAAATCAACCGATTTTTTTCATTTTTAAATTTGAAAACTCAATCTTACTGCTGGATAAGCGAGAAGCCAAGGGACCGCGATATTTTTCTCTATTTACCTAACTTTCTCGCTTATGGAGTTCGTCCATCGGGACTGAATAATGTCTCTAGCTTATAGAGGTTTCTCGCTTACCCAGGATTTTATTTCAAAATACTATAATATTTATTTAATAGAGCATTCATAAAGTTTGAATATTGATATACATTTGCTTATCATTAAAATACGATTATAAGAGAAAGCAACGAAGTTATTTTGTCGTGTCAAAAACTTAGTGCCACTGACCCACCTACCAAGTACTATTTAACAAAAAATCTAAAAAATGTATGCATATAATTTTTTTTATTTTAAAAATAACAGTATACCTGAGGTGATTGGACTCTGTCTCCTCATCTACAGCTTGATGCAGCGGACCCAGTCTGTAGCCACGTGGCGTGTGGGAAGATCGCACGTGCACATCGCGCTGACCCGTCGACCTCACGCCGTCCACCAAAGAAGCCAGCAATGCGTCCCTATAAATATATCCAAAGTAATAAGAACTGAGTCTGAATTAAAAAAAAATACTATTTTAAATACATATGTTTGGATGGATGGATGTTTATTAGAAGGAATGTCCCGAACTGCTGCATAGGTTTCGCAGAAATTTAGCACAGATGTAGAACATAGCCTGTAAGAACATAGGCTACTTAAGTTTTTTTTAATCCGCGCGGACGGTGTCCCGGGTCAGCTGGTCTAGTTATAAATATAGCCTATGTCATCCGGGGATAAAGCAGCTTCCTAACAGTGAAAGAATTTTTCAAAGTGGTTGAATAATTTTTGAGCTTATTCAATGCAAATATACAAATCATTACTCTATATTATAGTTAAGTTTATCTTCACAATTTTTTGAAATTAAAACGAATCAAAGGAATTAGTAGAATCATAAGAATTACTATAATGGTACATCACTAAGCTACTTAGCTTCCCAATGAAACAAGTAAGAATGAGAGATAAAGACATAAATTATTGGCCTAGGAGAGTAAATACTAACCTTTCTCCGGCCAAATAGGTTCGAACCTGTCCATTTAAATATTCAATAGAAAACTTCTGAGGATGTTCCGGATCTCGGACTAAAGCGAAAACATCGCTCAGTGGACGCAAACATACCACCTGGGAATAAATTGGGATATTTATAATATATTGTAAACAATATTTTTATAACCTAATACATTGAGAGCTAGCAAACCCCCCATGGATTTTAATACTTTTAATTATAATACTAAAAAATAGAAGCGGCATTGAAAGTGTTAATTTTACTTAATGTCAATCATTCAATAAAGTACATTAATATTAATGTTTCTATATATCTTAAATTCTCAATATATATTGAGATGGGATTATAAACAATACTATAACTATATTCATATATGTAAATCAACATCAAAAGTAATACAAGTTTTCAGACAATAAAAATGCTAAACAATTCAAAATGTATTCAATTTCTTACATCTTACCGAATATGTCTGAGGATCTCGTTCAAGTATGCAGGTATCCGAGAGGCAAAGGGTACGTCTCATGGGCTCCATGTGCCTTGCTGGATTCACCTTGTGCACCGTGAATTCACTCAGTGATGTCTGATGTTGATCTCCACTGAAATAAATATTTTTTTTTCCATATAAAAGTGCAAACATGATGATGCCTTGCCCAACAAGTTTGCTTTAACACATAAAAATTATTGTGGCATTGAATGTGTTGCACATATCTTACTAATATTAAGAGTGTTTGTTAGAAGGTATCTCCGGAACAACTCAATGGATGATGAAATGAGACACAGAATATGTTCTGTTCTGTTCAGACTATGGTCTGAAGAACATGTAGGCTACTTAGTATGTTTGACAGCTAGTATTATAATATTATTTAAGTAAAAAAAAATGAAATAAATTTTTTTAGTAATGGCAACCAATCTCTTCATATTAATATATTCCAATTGGCCTTTAAAAAAAATATAGTCATACTAAATAGTATGTATACTATTTTTAACACATTCACTGCTACTGGCTTGGTTGAGTTCAGTTTTATGCATAAATATCATGTTAATTACTGTAACAAGAATAAGCCAAGAAGTAACCTACTTCCAGGCTAACATTCTTGAGTAAATGAGTCTAATAAGATTAACACAAGTAAGTCATTTTACAGTTAAAACATAAGACGCATAAGACATGTCTCGCTTTGAAAAATATTACTTTAGAAATAAACATAAATATATGTAGTTAATATTCAACAAGCTTAATTTCTTTATTCTTTGTCAATACTAGCGGTCGCCTCATTCGCGCGGAATAAAAAAAACTTAATTATTAGCCTATGTGTCCTTCCAGACTATGTTCTACATCTATGCTAAATTTCAGCAAGATCCGTTTAACCATTTTGGATATCCAAATGAACATCCATCCATCCATCCAATATTAGTAAGATATTCTAAGTATTATTTGACAATATCAAAACTTTTTATCATTTTAAATTAACTAAATGATTCCTTTCTATTATTAAACATCGTACCATGTAATAGTAATCTAAATTATGAAATAACAGCAACAGTGTTATAACAATTTGCTACATTCAATGAGTAAAAAATATTTTATATAAAAAGATAACAATATTTTACAATTAGAACATTTATAACACCACATACAAGATAAACAATGATTCACTATTTCAAGGCAATTTAAAATTCACTTTGAATCTAGCAACACAACACTAAGCAATTTAGTAAAAAAAATATTAGCACATTGTAATTAATTTACTAATACTTCTTATAAATGTCTCAATAATCTTATAATATAAAATTCTCGTGTCACAATTTTCATTTCCATACTCCTCAGAAACGGCTTGACGGATTCTCATGAAATTTTGTGAGCATATTGAGTAGGTCTGAGAACTGGTCAACATCTATTTTTAATCCCGCGCGGACAGAGTCGCGGGCGCCAGCTAGACTGTAATATATTACTATAATACCATAAAACCATATGATTGGTAGTCCATATTCTAAACCATGGTTTTGTTTAGTACTTGTCCACTTCAACAAAAATTGGATATACAACTTCTTACATATACTAATCTTGTGGTTAGTACTGATTAGCTTTTTCAAGATATCAAACAATAAAAGTTATATCTCTTACAAGTTCCCTTTACAAATGTAACTTAATGGCATGACATTTTTATATTATTTAATATTTTACACATACCTGTATTTCCCAAATCTTTGGTTATGGTAATCATCCAAGGTGATGGTTGCTGTTAATACTTTTATTGTTGTATTGAGAATCAAATTTGCCATTTCCAACATTTTTCCTATAATAACTTGGTGTTCCATTGAATTTGAAAATAGATGTAGGCGGCTATAACCACCAACAGCTAAGACAAAACCCCCAGGTATATCTCTGACTGGTAATATGCCTTGTATATCACAGTATGGATAGCTGGCTAGGAGGGTATGTGTGGATGGATCCAACTGCTCCAGAGAACAAGGTCCTACTTCAAGCACAACTGGTAAACGAGTACCACTCCAATGGTGTTTATATGCCTGATATCTCTGTAACAAATGGAAAGTCAGTAAAAAAATAATTTTAACTTTTTATATAATTTATCAAAGTAATTCCAGTCAATGTTATTTTAAATAATGCAAATAGGTGGGCTGCGAGAAAGATAAATGAGCTAGTAATTATTCAACAATACAGATATATGTTTAGATAAAAAAGAACTCACATAAATTTCCTTTGACTTTTCAGCAAATAAATGTCTATATTTAAAAGCCTCGGTTAATATTAAACATTTATGTTCAGATGAAAACTTCATAGTATCAATTTTCTTATCTTTCTTCATTGTGAGTATGAAATCATGGTTTGATACAGAGTTTGAGTTTTTGGGTAAAGAAAGTTTCACAACATCTGCATACAGCCATTTGTTGGTCACCTCCAATCTGTCTGGGTTATAAGTGGTGATACCACGAGTGCCCACTGAGAACACACGCTTATACTTGCCCTTCCACGAATGCTTGGTGACAAGGAATGAAGCAACATCCTGATTGTCCTTTAACGGAATCATCTTATCATTGCCTGCAATATTTTAACACTGGTTACAAAAAAAATAGTTTTGCATTAAACTAAAGCAAAAATAACACTACATTTCTGTCCAAAAACCAGGACCAGGAACTCAGGACAAACTCATTGTTAGGAAACTTCAGTTTAGGGTATAACATGAAAAATAATAAAAACATTAAAACTTAATTAAATAACTCATGAAAACGTTAAAGTATTCAAAAAATACTTTAATTTTGGCGTTTATTCGACATGTATCCACCCCTTTGTAAATAGATCGCATGAAAATGGACATTGAAGACGTGTAAACAAGGGACTATTTGAAACTTTGTGTTAATTTCAGTTGAAAACAATACTAACAAAACATACTTACAAATTTTAATGGATTCTATTTGTTTATTGATATTACCGCTTTAAAGATATGACCCGCATATTCAAGAAAACAATCAGGAAAATATTTATGAGATAAGCTCAATATACGGCACACTCACAATTGTGTTTGACAATTCATGTGTAATATTGCCATGACATCCCACTTACAGGTTTATAAACACGTAATAAAGGTTTGTTTCGATAGGGCACTCATTCGTAATATTATTATAATTCGGACTATTTAAAAATTTGCAATATTTTTAATGATTAGTTCAATGATAAACTTTTTGTACAAAAATGGAAACATAAAATAATCGAGAAAACACCAACAAAAGATTTCACGGTTTGATAAATTGGTGGAAATTGGAATACATTTTTTTTAATAACATTGTCGATTTGTCATTCTGTCACAAATTCTTGTGCCAGACTTTCGTCATATTTGCGTCAACGTCAATACTGTTCGTTGTCGTACCATACGGTGAAAGTAAATTTTTTTTTTGTTAAATCTGCATTAGGCATAACAGTGCACCATGGTTCTTGACTTAGATTTATTTAGAGCTGACAAAGAAGGTGATCCAGAAAAGATTCGTGAGAACCAGCGTAAAAGATTCAAAGATGTTGCCTTGGTTGACACCGTGGTGGAGCAGGATTTACTTTGGAGACGATTGAGACACGAGGCAGATAATTTTAACAAATTAAAAAATGTGTGTAGCAAGGAAATTGGTCAAAAGATGAAAAGCAAAGAGCCCGTGGGACCAGAAGATGAAGAAGTACCGGCTTCTGTTGCCGATAACCTAGTCAATCTTACAGCAGAACAGCTTCGACCTCTTACTGTCAATCAGATTAAAAAGGTATGCATTTAGATCATTTCATCTCATTTCCTGGAATAACAATAATATGTCAAGCAATTTTTTTTCCATATAACTCTAAAAAAATTACTGCCAATATTTTAGGTTCGTGTACTAATAGATGAGGCCATCACAAAGAATGAGCAAGGGCTAATTACTGCAGAAAAGGCTCGTTCTGCAGCATTAAGAGAAGTGGGCAACCACCTCCACCCTTCAGTTCCAGTGGATGATGATGAAGACCACAACCTTGTGGAGAGGACATTTGGAGACTGCACTGTGAGACAGAAATACTCCCATGTTGATCTTATTTGCATGATTGATGGTGAGTGCTACATTTTTTTTCTAGTAATTTATAAGAGTCTTGGTTAGTAACTGCATGACTAGACTGCATATTTAGCAAATATTCAGTATTGTTTAAAAACTTGTGTTGTTCAATAAATATAAAATGTCTGATGGGCTGTTTGTTATTGAACCAACAATAAAACAATTTGAATCTTACCTAAAGGAAGCTCTATTAATTACTGACGAAAGCCGCACAGGATTTTTTTCAGTAAACAGATGATCTCTGGTCTAATAAAGTTACCCGTCCATGGTATAGAATGTTTTGTTTTATCTAAATTTTATATGCTTTATTCTATCCTATGCCTTATAAATTATGTAATACAAAATACATAACTTCATATTAACAGGCATGGATGGAGACAGAGGTACAGCAGTGGCTGGTGGGAGGGGATACTACTTAAAAGGTCCTGCTGTCTTCCTAGAACAAGCACTCATACAGCTTTCACTGAGAATACTCTTGAAGAAAGGTTACACTCCACTGTACACTCCTTTCTTTATGAGGAAAGAGGTAGAGATTATGACATAATTTTACTCAGTATATTAAGATTTTAATGTAAAGGCTTAAAAATATAGCTATTTCAATATATATAGTAAAAATCGTTAAATTTAGTATAGTATTAGCTGTTTCTTAATCTATGATAAATATTAGCGAGAACATCCATCCATACATCAAAATATTTGTTTTTATAAAAGTTTAATTCTATTTTTATCTCAACTATACATTTTACTGTAAAATACCATCATGTGCTACTTATGTACTCAGGTAATGCAAGAAGTAGCTCAATTAGCACAGTTTGATGAAGAACTTTACAAGGTTGTTGGAAAAGGTTCAGAAAACAAAGGTGATAATGTTATTGAAGAGAAATACTTGATAGCAACCTCGGAACAGCCTATTGCAGCGTACCACAGAGATGAATGGCTAGCGGAGTCTTCTTTGCCAATAAGGTTTGTTACTAATACATATTCAGCCCTTATTCATCCACTGCTGAATGTAGGCCTCCCCCATCGATTGCCACAATGCTGGATCCTGTGCGCATACATAGGAATCATAAATTTTTTATTTGTATGTATTTTGAAAAACTGATAATTTTCAGGTATGCTGGTTTGTCAACTTGTTTCCGACAAGAAGTAGGCTCTCACGGCCGCGACACGCGCGGTATATTCAGAGTGCATCAGTTTGAAAAGGTAAAACATCTGAATAAATATAACTCAAAGACATTATGGTAATTCAATTACATTGTTATTATTAACTGTTTACATTAATATTAAATTTTACAATATAGGTAGAACAGTTTGTTTTGACCTCTCCACATGACGATGCATCCTGGAAGATGATGGATGAAATGATTGGCAATGCTGAGGAGTTCTACCAGACCCTTGGTATACCATACCGCATTGTAAACATTGTGTCCGGTGCATTGAACCATGCAGCTGCTAAGAAATTGGATCTGGAAGCCTGGTTCCCTGGATCTGGAGCATTCCGCGAGCTTGTTTCCTGCAGCAACTGCCTTGAGTACCAGGCTAGAAGGTTACTGGTCAGGTAATAAACTCTCTTAAAGATGTTATTATTTAAATATTGTACCCTAGCCACAAAGAAACATTTTTGATATATTTTGCTACATTTCTTGATATTCTTAACAAAGAAAAAATATTTGTATATTTTTTATATATTTATCACGTTCTTTTTTTCATGGCAAACTGTAAAGTCTTTATTTGAATCAAAAAGCATTTTAATAACATGTAAAATGGTCAGGTATGGACAAACAAAGAAGATGAATGCGGCCACAGAGTATGTTCATATGCTGAACGCGACCATGTGCGCTACCACACGCGTCATCTGCGCGGTTCTCGAATGTAACCAGACAGATGAGGGTATTAAGGTAATTTCCCATTAAAAATTCATAACTCTCAGCTATTTAGAAATACCAGAAAACTGAAAATAATGCTAACAGAAATAAAAGCATCATACCTACTGGTTTTATTAAATACATCATAATAAAGAAAAGCAGATAATGGCTTTGTATGTGTACATTACTTTGAGGTTTATAAAAGTATTATTTCGTCTTGCATGTAGAGACCTATTCCCACTTAATATTCATCAATATGTGGTTTAAATTAAAAATTTAAATATGCATACTTATTGGTTTAAAAACATCTTTACAGGTCCCCGAGGTACTGAAGCCATGGATGCCGGAACAGTACCAAGAGGTCATACCATTTGTGAAGCCAGCTCCTATCGACTTGGAAGCGGCTGCTGCTGCTAAAAAAGGAAAAAAGCAAAAGGAAGACAAAAAATAAATTTTAAACAAGCACTCCGCATTTAAATGTTTGCATTCCCACACCAGTGGCATGTTATTTATTATGCTCTCATTAAGCTTGTACTTCAGAATGTTTTATTTAAAATTAATAAATTGAATCATTTCTATATAATTTATTCCTGACGTATTATTTCTGCTATCTTAAATTCAAGACTTTTGTAGACTTTGACTTTTAGAAAGGGCTAGAAAAAATTGTGAAATTAGCAAAAATATAAAGGCGTTAACCCAGAAATTAGATTGTCTTAAATCCATTGCAAGTGCAACACAAAAATGTATCTTAGTGTTTTCTTTAAACCCAAAATTAACCCTTAGCAGATTTTATTGTTCATTAAACATTCACTAGGAAAAAACTACTTTTTACATCAAAACTATTTTATTTGTATATCAAAATTCAATAATTTTTTTTAACATTAAATTTACTTTATTTATCATCTAATTATAAGGTGAAAAATAAAACATAACACTTTTGCATTTACACATTTATTGTGAGAAATCACACCCACTTGGGTCTAAGCAGACTTATGCTATATGTTCGTCAAGACAATATAAAAATGACTAACAATAATATATATTACTCCTTATTAATACAATGAATACATAATGAACAAGAGGAATATGTTTAGAACTCAACTATATATTTCGTAACATAAACAAATAAAGGTTAAAATTAAAAACATATCTTTCAGTTCACATAAATACGGTTCAGATGAAAAATAAGGTCTTTTTAATTATTTCAATAGGTCAATTAAAAAAAATAAGACACAAACATTTGATGTAAATTTAAAATTTCCGGGTGTCTTTAATGCCTATTTTACCAACAATTAACTTCTATAAATAGAAAATCTTCAAGCGATGTACATGTTTACTGAAAGATAAGAGATATACAATGTTTTAATTATTGTTTTTCAGTACACAATTGAAATCACCATTGTTAAAATGTATATTGACCAAATCTTCATTTAACTTTACATTAACTGTAGATTAGGCATACAATTATAGAATTATCTTTTATATCCTTATATTTCCTTAATGTTAATTAAGGAAATATTGTTGCAAATACATAAATTTTAAAAATTAAGATTATTTTACAATTGCATTAATTATATCAGGGGTGGCCAAGCTCCACGATAGACATTTTTCAAAATTTGAACCCAAATAAATACATATTCAAAAGAAATTGAAATTTTTTACGTTGTGGCACGTAATATTTTGAAACACATGAAACATTTTTTTATTTACTACATATAATACGAAAATAACAAAGGAACATTTATCAAGACTTGAAAACAATCCTTCAAAGAGTTGCATGTGTCTTGTGAACTGCAATTTGGCTACCCCTAACATATAGGATATACTTTCCGATTGTAAATTTATATATAATTATACAAGGCAAGTTCAGAACTAATAAAAGACAACCAGCAAAGAAGTGCAACAGACTAAAGGATTCATAGCCTAAACTGATACATAATAAAATATTTGTATAACTTTTATAATGTTCTGTTTACGAGTAAGTGAAATATTAAATGCTACTTTCAACCATTGCATATGTTCTATCATAGCATTATTGTCTATCATGCAAACCTTAGAAACTAGAGCATGATTACATAAGATACATATTTGGTACATAAAAACCCAGTTTTGTATACAGCATCCAAAAATTTTTCAAGACTGTAAAATAATATGAGTAAATATGGTCTCATACACTTGTTTACAAATTAACAACCATTAATTCAATCTTTCTGTTTAATTAATAAGCATATATATAGATGGCAAAATTACTTTTTTTATTAATAATGTAGTAATGCATTGATATACTCATGTAAAAACTGTTAAATGAAAACCATAGTTAAGATGAGATGTAACTGTAAAATTTTCCCTATTCTCAAATTAGGAATAACAGATAAAGTTTAACCTGCATTTTATTTAACTGAAAAATAACAGGAACAAACAAAACAAATCATTTTGTATGTTAATATGTCTGAATGGTAACTGAACTTGATAAAAGATTTATAAATTACAGTTGAAAACAGTTAAAATGCTATTACTATTCGGTGTAAAAATAAACTATGACAAAGCTTTGTTTCATTTTGAATTTAATACATAATTTTGCAAAATAAATAAAACATTGTAATCATACAAATTTTTGTAACATACCTCTATAATGGCAGTATTTTTAAGCCATTATCCATCCAATCACTGACAGTATAATGATTGCATTGTTTACGTAATGTTTACACCACTAGCAAGCTAGCTGAGCCTTTTGCCTACATTTATGCATCAACGCCCGTAAAGTAAATTGCCGTCTAGCCAATGTACGTACTTGCTTCAAGAAAGTATCCAGATCTATTACCTCTTTGCGTAATGCTTCACCCATGTAATAAATAGCATCTTCCAATGTTGCTTCTTCTGCAAATGCATTTAAAAGTTGAGAGTACAACGGAGCAGTTGTTACGACAGCTTCATCCGCTTCAATGCCATCCTGCTCTGCAAGTCTCTCCACAGCAGATTCCAACTCCTTTTCTTTCTCTTGAAGTGTGCTTAAATTTTTTTCAAGCGATGCCTTTTCTCTTTGCAGTCTTGTAAATATATCTTCAAGACGAGATTTGCCCTCGCAGAGTTCTTGTTGTGTTCTCCTCAAAGTTTCCAGTTCTGCCTGTGATTGTTGGGACTGTTCATTTAGCTTTCTGCGCAATTTATCAGTAACTGCCGATAATAATGAAGCTTTTATGTGCTCCTCTGTGATGGTACCACCTGCCACTTCAGTAACTGGACCAAAATTGGTTGTCGGTGGGTAAGGGGTGGCTGCAGGATAAGGTGTACCATTTGTACTAACTTGACCAGGGTATGGTGTACCAAAGCTTGGATAAGGTAAAGGATTTGAAGTTGTGGGATAAGGAGTAGCTGTTGGATAACCAGGCTGAGGGCTAACTTGAGGATATGGATAGCCTGAAGGCTGCGGCATAAATGGATCAAATGGGTACGGAGGTCGAGGCTGATTACGTGGCTTAGCGTAAACAGGAGGCAGCTCCCCAAATGCTGTAATCATCCACTGAACCAAACGTTGTAGGGTTGAACCAGAAGGTGACCACTCATGAAGGTAAGGAAGATAAATCTTACCATTACTGTCAACCCATTTAGATGTTTTGATAGTCATTTCAGGTGTAGGTTTGACAAAACACAACGGTGCATTTTGTGGATGCGTATCCATAAGCCAAATACTGACGGGGATATTATAAAATGCTCCTTTGTAATTTACGGGTATCGTGCCTTCAAGGTTGAGTAAATCCTTTCTAGTGCCATTATTGAACACAAAGGCTTCTAAACGATAGACGAGACTACGATAAACTTGAATCAGACTAATGACTTCTCGCGCAGTATAATCACGGTGTTTATATTTAGACAAATATTGTTTCAAGACAACTTCGTCGTTTGCCATAGCGAAAGATAATTTGATATCAAAATTTATGCACTTGTTGTAGTTAAGCACTGAAATATAAAATTTTTAAGAGGAAAAATGAATATGACACACCAACATCTTGTATGAATTATCATCTACTTCTTTAGTCTATTGCAGAGAGTACATAATATATGGTGTGTTGTCTATTGTTGTCAATTGTCGTTGAGTCACAGAGTAAATACTGTGCTATTTATAACCTGGCATCGCTGGCATCCATTAGTCGCGAAATAAATAGAGGCGCCACCATCTTTCTTGTGATCACCCCTTGCTTGCTACATGATAACGGCGTTTTGTAAACAAAAATGACTACATATGTTTTAAAGCAAACAATCACTTTTTCATTAGTTTGTTTTACCTTTTATTTTTAGCATCGTTGGCATATTAAAACCCATTTCTTAGGAAAGAACACTAGCACTACTTTGTCAAGATTGGACAAAACTATTTCGGCTTCGGATTCTACCGAATATCTCAAACATTTTGATATAAACACTTGGATAGGGCTGAGGATGGTAGTTTTGGATATTTCTCTTTCATGGTTTTCTCCAGGCTATAACATCACTTGAAAAACTGTATGCACATTAAACACTTTGTGTTGGTTTTAAAGATAATTCTTCTAAAAATCATTGTTTGATTTTAAGTTGTTGTACTGGAAAATAATAAACAGCTGTGTGTCTCTTTGATTCATCCACTCTGTGGGTTGTTCGGTTGGCAAGTTGGCAACCCCATCTGATTTTCGTTTTTGACATTTCTTTTTCAACGAGCTGTCAGCGTTTACGGAGCGCTTTCCGGCTCGTATTTTAAATCCGAAGTAATCTCGTTGGATTTTATATTTTAATTTGTGTAAGGCAAATAATACTACTACACAATGCCGCCTAAGTTTGACCCAAACGAAATTAAAATCGGTAAGGCGAGTGATACATATTTTTTGTATAGTTAATGTGATGTGATGTTAAGTTTATATTTTTGTGTTTTAGTTAACTTAAGGTGTGTTGGTGGAGAAGTTGGTGCTACCTCATCTTTGGCCCCTAAAATTGGTCCTCTTGGTCTTGTGAGTATTAAATATTATGTGGGGTCACAACTTGACTAACCATCTGTATCTTTCAAACATAACCTATATACGGCGATAAGACATTGATGCTTAATAAATTTTTGTTAAAGTAATTAAAACTTCACAATAAAGCATGTCTTGTTGTCTACATCCTGGGGGGCGCCACCCTACCAGGCGCGTCCTTCCGGTTGGCGGATGGAAGGAACCCGCGACTCAGGATCGTGCTTTTAGCCCGTTCCCTGTCGCGGCTACTCCGAATGCCCAATAAGGAGTCGCGGACCAGGCCATGTGTTTTCTGAGAAATTTGCATATTACGATAATCAAAATTGATTTATAAATTTTGTGTTCTTCAGTCTCCTAAAAAGGTTGGCGATGACATTGCTAAAGCTACCAGTGACTGGAAGGGCCTAAAAATCACAGTACAACTTGTTGTACAAAACAGGCAAGCTCAGATTTCTGTGGTCCCGTCTGCTGCCGCCCTTATCATTAGGGCTTTGAAAGAACCTCCCCGTGACAGGAAGAAGCAAAAGAACAGTAAGTTTGAATTATACTTATAAATGTTAGTAAGCAAAGAAGGTATGGTTGTAAAAACTATTTACTGAAGTATGTTTACTTTTTTCAATATATTTTTAAAAGCCAAAATTGCTATCCTTGTTATGTGACTTAGATATTAAATTTAGTTAAAGTTAGTATCTAATAGTCACGTTACGTCACGTCACATAATCTAATAGTATTAAAAAAACTGTTGTAGCATAAGAGTATGGTTGATGAATAAGGGCAGATGATTATTACCATACTTTGTGTTCTTTATAAATTGTTAAATAAATATAATTAATGTTTAATTTTTATTACAGTTAAACACAATGGGAATATCACATTAGAAGATGTTGTAACAATTGCTAAAACAATGCGGGCACGTTCAATGGCAAGAGAGCTGTCTGGCACAGTTAAGGAGATCCTCGGCACAGCACAGTCTGTTGGGTGCACCATTGATGGCAGGCCTCCACATGACCTCATTGATGACATCAATAGTGGTGCTTTAACTATTGATGAATAAATGGGACCTCTTTTGATTTTATACTTGTTTTATTTTTAATTAAAAATAGTATTAAACATGAAATACATTACACAACATTTTAAATAATCTGCTTAATCTCCGGAATTATTTTTATATTATGGAAATTGGATTTGTGAAGTATTCAAAAAGAAATCTTAAAATTTGAAAGACTCGAAAGAAATAGCGCCATCTATTGTCTTCGTTTTAAAACAGATTTTTTTCACGAGCTGTGCCCGCGACTTCATCTGCGTGAAATACTGTCTTCCGGTAGTGTTTAGATTGGCAATGCTAATTATTTTACTTTAACTTATGAAAAGCTACGACGGAGCTATACGGTAGTAAAGTGGGCCTGATTCATTAGTAGTCGTGGTAATCAGCTCAAAGTCCAGATGTCATAATGTCTGGGGCTCAACAACTAAATCATGCGCTCGTAATTTATTAAAATAGAACGTCCGCTTAGCATCTCATACTGTTCTATACAGCGCACAGGTTGCAGCTGTAATAATTGAGTGAGCTATGAGCCGATTCACTGATTTGCTTTACACATGCGAATCGAGAGATCGCATGTAATCAATTTTAGTCGAGTTAGGGTTGGGTTGCGATGTCATGTAACATGGCTGTTGCGGTTCCTTCACTGCTAAAATACCCTTTATACCTCTAAATTAATTGAGTACAGTTAAATATGCTAAGGGAGACTTGCTATTACGATTTGGTTTAGTGGAAGTATCGTTAAAAAAAAATAATTTGACTTCAATTCTTTTTCTCGCGTGTAGATTATCCTTTAGGAATGAATTTATTGCGTAATAATAACCTAAATAAAATAATATATATTTTTAATGTTATCAGGGTTTTATCAAGTAAAACTTTTTTTCCAAAATTGGTAGTTTTAAGTCTGGGAAAAGTTTAGTAATTTTTTACTCTGTGCCAATTCAGAGAAACTGTTTTGTTGTCAACACTGTTCCCTCCAAGCAGAAATGTCAAAATGGCGTCAACGCAGGACGCTTGGTATATTTCTTTACTTGGTTTAGCAGAACATTTCCGTACATCAAATCCTCCTGACATAAAAAGTTGTATACAGTGTTTACAAGCGGTATTTAATTTTAAACCACCCCAAAGGGTCGAGGCCAGAACTCACTTACAACTCGGAAATATTCTTTTGACACACACTAAAAACATTGACTTGGCGAGAACGCATTTAGAGCAAAGTGTAAGTTTTTTTAATCGTTTTTTTACAATTTTGTGTATTTTTAGGTGCTAGAAAATTTTGATAATAGCTCCTTAGCTTTGATATTCTAATCGAATACAAATTACAATTTCCTTATGGTGATAACTTTCTTCTAGAATGTAAACAATAATGTTGAAGTGGGTCATTTGGTGTTTTTGTTGCAGTGGTTCCTATCACAAAGTATCAATGCGTTTGATGATGTAAAGTTCGAGGCGGCGAGCGTACTTGCTGAGTTATTTGAGCAGCAGGGCCAGCCAACTCATTCAAAACCAATTCTAAGGAAGGCCATTGAGTTATCGCAAAAGAGCGTGTATTGGCACTGCAGATTAATTTTTCAACTTGCGGTATGAATATTTTGATATATTAGGGTTTTAGGATATTTACATGTACAACATAAGTTTATACAATGTAAATTTCACTAACTCATTTCTTTAATAGTTTCTTTCTATTAATTTTACTTAGTTTGCTGAATAAAGATTAAGCAACAAATAATACAAACCTTTAATTAATAAATATTATTTTCATAGTCTCACATACTTACCTGCCTCAGTGAGAGTTGGGCTTTTATCACAGTGCTTTCTCTCAAAAAATGTACATAGTTATAGAAAAAAAGTGTTATTTGTATGATGCCTTAAACTAAAAGTCTAGAAAATTGTAGTTGAATAAAAATAATTGTAAGGCATGTTTTCATGTCAAATAAAATAACTATAAAATACATTAGTGATGTAATTTATCACAGATAAGGATATGTTAAGAGGTTTTTTTAATGTTTAGTTTTATATTTGTAGCAAATCCATGCAACAGAACGGGAATATGAAGTTGCAAGCAGTCTGTTGGCAGTTGGGGTGGATTATGCACAGATTGCAAATGCAGCATATACCAGAGTACTGTTTTTATTAAGTAGAGTTATGGTATGTATGATTTTAAGTATAATTTAACTTTGATAATAAGATAATAGTTAATTTTGAATGGTAGTAGAATTATGCTTACAGTTAATTGTTGTTTATTGCCGATTTCCACATTCATAATTTTTTTTGGAATGTATTGCCAAATAAATTGTAATTTTAACAATTTTGTTATTTCACCATTACTGCAATGCAGAACACCATATGTATATACTGTAAAGTTACATAATTAATGCAATATGGTAATGTTTATTGCCATTCCAGTTGTTGTTAATAGACAAAAAGATACAAGAAGTGTTGCCATTGTTGAATCAAGCTGGACATCTTGTGGAATCATGGACGGGAAGTCCACATCAGAAGGAGTACCTCAAAGTGTTCTTCCTTGTTTTACAGGTACTGGTCACATAGTTATTATTCATTTTTTGGGCATATGATGTATAGAACTATTTATCTATCTTCTGCAGAGTAAGGTTTTAAGATCATTAGGAAACTCATACAGTATAATCTCACTAATCCGGCGTCTTCCACCCATGTATCTCTCGCTCCTGTCCCTATGCGTTTCAGTCACTGCATTGTCTACTAGCAGTCTAACCTCAAAACTTATTTTCAACAGAGAATAGTTCATAGTTAAAAATACAACATAAAAGCAAACACAAGACACTAGATTTGAATAATAAAATTTCCATTATCTATGACTTTTTCACTATAATCCAGACATTTCAATAATCCGACACTCTCTGGTTTTGATAGTGCCTGATTAGTGAGATTATACTGTAGTGTACTGACACTTGGAGTAGTTATTAGTCAGGAGTAGCTTGTACAATTTTTTTTTAATTATGAATGCATACAAGGCTTTGGGCTCCAATTAAAAATGTTATAAATGTTTTAGGTGTGCCACTATCTAATGGCAGGCCAGGTGAAGAGTGTGAAGCCATGCTTGAAGCAGTTGCAGCAGAGCATCCAGACCATCATGGCGCCAACGTGGCCAGATGATGATGGTGACAACAAATGCTTATTTATTTATACATCAATAATTTTATGTATCCTTGTCATATTTAGAAGTTTAGGTATAATACTACTTTCATGTTTTTTTTTTGGGTGAAATCATATAAAATGAATCACAGCTCTCTAAACCAGCCAGTCCTAAACTTTATTCATAGATATTTTTAATTTTACTTCTTTTCATCTGTATTTTTATCTACTACTTTTAAAATCTTTAATCTTATTTCCTGTAATCCCGCATGTCCAGTTGGGCCTTACACACACCGAGGAGTCATGGACACTGGGAATCACTGGTCTATATTTTATTAATTATTCTAAAATTTTAGCATTGTAACTTTGGGTTACAGCGGTTTGCGGCAGCGCGGCCGGTGAGTCGTTCGTGTGGATGTCGCGGCAGCAGTTATATGTGCTGGTGTACCTCGTCACAGTGATGCACTCCGCGCAGGCTGGGTACATGGATAAAGCGCACAAGTATACTGAAAAGGCACTTGCACAGATTGACAAGCTTACATGTAAGTTACAAGTTTAAACAAATTGGAAAAAAAGATTAGGACTAATAATATTGATTTACTGTAGTTTAAAACTGATTTAGTTATTTTTTGCTGAACTGCGTGAATATTACTGCCATACTCAGTTATTTTGTGTATTAAGTGTGAAAAATTTACACTATACTATTTGGTGTTAAGAATTAGGAGTATTTAGTTAACAATTGTTTCTTGTTGACATTGTAGGTCTAGCTTTTTTTTTGGCTGGAACTAAATAACTATGAATTATTTAGTGTACATTGCTTTGATTTATTTTGTGCAGCGAGTGGTTGTGAGGAGGGTAAGAGCGGGGGCGCTCGGAGCGGTGCTGTGCTGGCGTGGCGGTTGCGCATGGCTCTGGTGGAGCACTCTGCGCTCTGCCGGCTAGTCACCGGAGGCAAGGCTAATGCGCTGCACGAGATAGCTCGCGCCGCACATCTTCTAGCAGTTGCACCTACACGTATGTACATCACTAACATTCTTGTAATCTTTAAAGAAGGATCTATATAGGAAAGAAACTCTTTAGTGTAAATTAGTTGTTGAGTTTTAATCTCAATCAAAATCTTTGATAAGTTTTCTTAATATAAAAATTGTGTTATGGTTGCCAATTAACATTATTTTATCTAATATGTTAAGAATTTTTTTCTGTTGTCTTTTCTTTGCTTTTTTTTTATTAATTTTTTTTCTGTGTAAATCAGCGGGCAGCGCGGCGGCGCACACTCCGCAATTGCACTGTCTGCTGGGCTTGTACGCGATGTCAATGAACTGCATGGAGGCCGCAGAGTCGCAGTTCCACACCGCTATACAAGTAGGCAAAATTTTATTCACTTATTTATTTGAGATGGCAGTATGTAATTTCATTAATATGTAATAGCGAATGTAAAATTATTGAAACAAAACTTGACTGATGAATTTTATCTATTTTTTCAGATGTCACAAGAAAGGGACTTATGGATGTTTGCGAAACTCAACCTGGCTATTGTATACCTCCGAGGTCGGAGGGACAATGATTTGGCACAGCTAATGGAACAGGTAAAATAATTGACAAAACAAAAAAGTAAAAAGTATTGTGTATTAACATATTCTATGAGGATTGTTTTTGGTATTGTAGGTGCGACCGGAGGCATTGCCTGCGTACGCGCATGGCCTTCGGGCGGCCTCGTACTACGTGCTGGGACTGCAGGCGTTCTTTCAAGCAAGATATAATGAGGCAAAGTAAGTAAATATAGTTTTTAAATAGATATTATTTGGACTTTCAAGGTGTGTTTTAACTGTAAGTTACCATTTTTAAAACACTAGTATCAAAAGTTGTTATCAGAAGGATAGCATACTCTTTGTAAATCAGAGACAATATAAAGTTTGAATATAAGTGGTATTGGAATTACAATTTTTTTATAGACGATACCTTCGTGAGACTCTAAAGATGGCGAATGCTGAGGACTTGAACCGTCTGACGTCATGCTCACTCGTTCTGCTCGGTCACATTTTCTTGTCTATAAACAACTCGCGTGAGAGCATGAACATGGTCACCCCAGCAATGCAGCTCGCCAGCAAAATACCTGATGTCCATGTGCAGCTCTGGGCTTCTGCTATACTTAAAGGTACACTTCATCTATACTGAATCGTCATCTTTACAATATAATACCAAAATCAGATCAGTAGTTCCAGAGCCTATTCAATAATATTTAAATAATTCTTTGACTGTGGAAAGCTTCATTATACCCAGATAGCAAAGGATATGTTTTTATCTCCGTGTGGACAATGTCACAAGCAACTGCTAGTCTTTCATTCTTTACCAAAATTAAAATGTAAATTTCTATCAAGCTTGCATTTGCTAGTCAAATGTAAAATATTGTTTTAATTATGTTTTTCAGACTTATATCGGCTGGCTGGCGACACTGAGCGTGAGAACGAGGCGTACCAGATGCACTGCAACTACTCGCAAGCGCTGCTCAAGGACCACTTCCAGGCGACGCAGCTGCCGCAGCACGTTCTGGTGCAGTGGACGAGCGGCCCACCGCCCGCCCTGCCGCCATCGCTGCCGCCGCCCGCCGCCCTCTCCAACCCCACATAGTGTCCGGAACACTCACCTGCCCATGACACCGAGTCCTGGTCCGGTGAGATGTAACGCGGCAATGCGTTTTGCAGACTAACAGTGCTCTTGTGTCAGTGTCAGTGATATTTCAAAGTAATCAGTGCACCCATATGTCAATGGATTAATCCATTGAAGTAACCAAACCTAGTGGCGGCAACACTCAACTGATGAGATGTAATACAGCTGTGGTAAACCCATTGGACTAATAGTGCTCCTGTGTTAGTGAAATATTGGAGTAATCAATGCACCCAAGTGTCAGTGATAGTGAAAATTATTGTGCAATCAGAAAATTCTTTACTTCTATAGTACATGCACCATAAGAGCAAACAGGAGAGCATCGGAAGTGTAGTGGACCCATGTTAATGTGTAGTTATGATGAGACTGGGTCATGTGAGTTGTTGTAAACCCCTATAGTACATACAGAGTGTTAATGTCACAACTGAATGTGTATATTCCTTTTGCTATGTAAAATTATTGAGGTAATGAAGTGTTTAATGTAATAGAATATGTGTATATTCGTAAAAAATGATTTAATTCTATTAATACATTGTCTTCAGTTTGGAAAGGGATCTCGAAAATGTATCAAGTATTATAGATCTATAATGTTGCAATGCTTTACCTTGAAATTCCATTAATTTTTGTCTAACATACAAAAGGATGATGTTTTTCTATGAATATAAACTTTAACATTTTTGAGCTTGGCGAGTGTCTTGTAATGACTCCACCTGTTCAAAGTTACTGGAATACACTTAATAAGACAATAGACCATCAATCTAACCTGGTGGCCATGAATCAAAATAAATTATGACAGCTTAATGGCACCTTAACTGGTGAGATGTCATAATTTAGTTTGACTTAACCAGTTTTAATAGCTTTGATGGACTATATTTCCAATTATGCTGTTCCAAAATGACACTTGGCAATTACTATAGACAAATTTTACAACAAATTTTACTATAGAATATTGCTACTACAATATAGCAAATTTCTTCAGAAATATTGTAATTTGGTGAAATCTGTGAAATTTTAATCACACACACTAATTATTAAATTTAAATCTTCATTTGGAGACATTTATTTTGCTGTCTTTTATAAAATCAACTTTTAAAGGCAATTACTTTTATAATATCAAATATGCAATAAGCATGCATAAAACTAATTGCAGAAAAAACTAAAATATTCTCTGTGTAAGTAATGATTAGATACTTATTTATTTTTTAATTAAATTTATCAACAATCAATTTTGATTTTTATAAGATTTTTATCTCTTTTTATTTACTAGTCTTTAACTTAACAATTGTTAGCTCTTTGCCCTAAGCACTCCATTTGACTGTCCACAACTCAATTTCATTTTAATTTGTAAAAAGTTGTGCTTAATGTCTCTAAAATCTTCATTATAGACATCCCTAACTGCCCCTTTTATGTTTAAAAGTAGTGGAAAAAAAAATACAGTTGATGATAATATTTTTCAAAGAAGTATCCAGTTTTTTACTTTATCAGAAACGTGTTAACTGTAATTTTCTTGCAAATAATGGATATATGTCAAATTATTTACCTTAATAATACTGTCCTATTGTTATTTTTATAAAAAATTTAAGGCTTGTCACAATCAAACATCTATTGCATTATTTACTAATTGATTTATGTTATAAAGATGATTGTGTAACCTTAATGAAAGTCAAAGCATACTGGAGTCTGTCTACCTAGGTTGTCTTTTGCTATTTAATATTTTGATCTTACACTTTCAATTATCTTCAACCTTGATGTTGGTGATATCTAATAAAACAATGATTTATTAAAGGAGAAGATGAAATTATATGTTTCTTGTACATAGTTCCACTATGCACTGTCGACTGATAAAATTGTACATATAAAAATGTCTTACAAAAATGATCAAAGACGTCTTATATTTATTATTAAATTCTTAGTTTGAGAATGAATGTTGTTTGCATATGGTTAATTAATTATAGTTAAATAATATCTTATAGATGTTTACCCCAACGGAGTTTCCGTGGACGGTGTCTCTTGTGTATCTGTACATTTAAAATAAATTTTTCATGTTATTTTCGTATTTAATAAAGTAGAACTGACTTCCGTTTCACGGCGGCTACGTCCATGTGTCCGCGACTAAATAAAAAATATGTACTATGCATCCGCAATAACATGATACCTAAGTTTGTTGACGTAGGTAATATAGAAAATATCAAATAAAGGACTTGTATGCTTACATGAGAAACAAGTCGAAATTTTTTATTTTATTTGAATGCGATGACGCCATCGGATTTCTCTGTTACTTTACATGAGTAATAATGTTCCACAAATGCTTTCTGTTACAATGGCGAGATTAACTTGAACTGTGTATATTAGTCAAAAACAAGTTGAAGGATGTAATGTTTTGTACAATAGCAAATATGTATAAAAAATATAACCTAATAGCTATGGTTGCTAAAAAATATTGATTATTTGAACATATTTTTAGCAACCACTTATTATTTTCAATCCTCTCGACAATGTTTGATGTTATACACTCTTTTTTGTTAAATATTTAATCAATTTCCTATGAGACAGTCAGATGCGGCCTTACGGAGAGGGGTACATTTGCTGTTGTTAATATGTAAATAAAAGTTAAACTATTGTAAATAATAAAATTATAAATATATGTTTTTTGGTATGTATCGTTTTATTTATGTAATTACAAAAGTTTTGTTTAATTTCCTTAAGTATGAACATGATGAAAAAGCTCTTAAGATTGCATTAAGATATTTTATGTTTATAACAAAATTGTATGGCTTATAAGAGAATGTTGTTTAGCTTTTTAGAATAAAAAGAAATTAATTACTACTGCATGAATAAACACTGCATATAGAGAATTCTCCCCCAATAGGTTCAGAGTAATGTGGTGGATCTGGCGCGAGGTTATTCTTTCTATAGAAGGTGTCGCGCAGTAAGGCACAACGTCCCTTATTAACGTCTCTAGCGGGTAATCTTGATTTGCTCTGTTGCCAGCCGTAGTCACAACTCGTTGTCGCGCGGTAATTGAACCTTGAAAATAAAATCGTAATATGTTTAATATGAAAAGTGCATGAATCCGCGTAACAGAGATTCCCAAAGTGAATCAAGAATGTATGGTCAGTAAAAGTAATATTTTTGAACTAAATAATTTTGAATAAATCTGAGTTAAAAAAATTGCTTTTGTATAAATCTAACTTTGTACTGATTATGCGCATATTATCTGAAAAGAATTGTGATATTTTATGTTTGTTCATACTTAGGAACAGGTGTAGTACTAGTTCTTAAAAATTATAGCGGCACTAACTTTTCCTCTGGTGATTTTTTATATCTTTGTTTCAAATATCGGTACGTTGACCCTTTCTCTGTGCTACCGTACAGTAAGTTGACAACTTCAGGTTCGACAAATTTCATCTCGGTACATTCTTCAGACTGAACTAATTCGCGCGGTGGTACTGGCTTTGCGTAAATTCGAGGTTCATCTAATAACTAAAACACGTAACAAGTGAAAATGCAAACCACATCATTTAAAAATTGACGGTAGACAAAGATTTCTTGTGAAGGAACTGCGAATGTACTTTCATACTCTTTGACATGAAGTAATAACTAATTTTATTACATATTGAATTTAGTATTAAAGGACCTAATCTTTTTTTAACACATAGTAACGTTATTTGAATGTTTAAGCCGTACCGCTAAATATTTCTTAGCCAAAGCTATAGAAGCATCTACTTCGCGGACTTGTTTCTCTTTATTGGCTTCTAAAACATTGAGTAAATTTCTCTTGTTCCATTCTCTATTTCTGTGTTCAGACCTGACCAAGGCGTCCGCGTAAAAAGCGGCAATTTCTGGAGACCCCATTTTGATATTACACAACAATTTTGAAAAACAGTTTTGATGAAATTGATTATTGAGAATGTTGCCATTGTAAAAAAACCATGGATTTTTATATTCCAACTAGAAGTTGATATAAATCCTTTTTCATACATAGCCTATAAAATAATTCAGGGGCATTTTTTGGCGAGAAATAAGCCTGAAATTGTGACTCAACTGGAAAATAAGGACAGAATCGCATTTGGGTAAACACATAATAATGACTGAAATTTCTTTAATAAAAATTATTTTATTCATAAAAACTAAACAAAATTAATTCTTAACACCTGTACAATATAAAATGGATGTCTCATATGCATACCCGTGTTTAGACGGAATGTATAAATTTAGAAGATTATTCAAGTACTTTAGATTATCCATACATTACTAATCTTTATAGTCCACCTTATATATCATGAAATAGCATTTTCTTCTATATTATAAAACTACTTTTATTGCAAGAATTATTAATTTTGCGTCACACATTTCTTCACAATATGTGTTTAAAGGTACCTTAAATTTTATGTCTATTCACTTATTGTGAATTATTATTATTACAATAACGAATTATCAGATAGTTTTAAGATATTCTATAATATACCAAAAAGTAAGTCTTATTAAAGCACATGCACACAATATTATTATATCCTTATTGGTTTTAGAAAATTGTTATGAGGTTGGGAAAATCCATGCAATTTGATGTGGACGGTTTAAACTTGAATACATTAAGGTCATTTTCAGAACTGTACATTCTAATTTATTTTAGTATTAAAGTATATGTAGGGAGCAGAGAAGTCAAAATATAATAATAAAGTCAATATTTTAAAACATGGGTACAATTTAGTTTAACAAAGAAAAAATGATTTTTAAAATATAAAATAAATATTTTTTTTGGACATGTCAGAGTAAGATCTCTAGATAAATATACGAAATATTAAACTAACAGAAGAATAGATCACTCAACACATCACATTATTTCTACAAACTCGTCTTTTTCAACTTTGGAATTACACTGTGCAGAACTTTTGAATAATCTTCTCAAATCACAAAACTTCACAATGTTCGTAATATAAAAAATACCCCAAGATCAATTCTGACTTTGGGATCTCGGTGTTTTTCGTCCCATAACTGGACTTCCACCCATTTGTCGGAGAAGACCTCGTAACCCTCGTGCTTCTCGTAGGCCACTGTCTAGTTGTTCTGCTGGGACAGCACAGAAGTCGTCAACTAGTGGCATAGGCCCACTCAGTCTATCAGAATACTGAGCTAAGCGGGACTGATGGCCTATGGGTGATGTCTTGTCTATGGCCTGTTGCTGCGTCTGGAAGTATTATCATTACATTTTAAGAAAATTAAAGTTGACAGGATGACTCCATTCTTATTCTGACAGCATTGGTACTCATATAGTGGAAAAAATAGGCTTTAAGACATTATCTACATGGTTGCAATAGTTTTTCTGGTGTTGTAGATGTTTGTAATTTATGATTGTAAAGAAAATATATCTGAATAAACCTTATATCACCTTGCCTCTGAGTGCTGTAATTTCATCTTGTAATTTCTTCACCAATGTTGCATCATTTTCATAACTGGTGAGTGTTGGTTGTGGCATGCATTGGAATACTGTAGCCAACAGATTATGCAGTGACACAAGTACACTGTCCTGCCAAGCTCTTGTGAAGTATAAGCTGAATGATGGGTTTTCTTCTGGTTTTTGAATATACGGCAACACTAAAAATATATGACATGGTATGAAATGCAAAAGTTTAAAAACTGTTATAATTTTTAATTTAAAACAGCTTTATGTAGCTTTGTAGTTGACTTAATAGGGTACTTTTAATATTGAACAATTACTTACTAAACCATTCTTTCCACTCATTTTGACCTTGCAATTCTGAGAGCATTTTTGACAAAAATTCTGATACTTTTTCATTTCTCACACCTCCAGTGCTCTGTGCTGCAGTTACTAAGTACATTTTATACAGGCTATATTCTATTTTACGTACAGCTGCAATATAAAATTGTTATAAAATAATTTACTTGCACAAATGTAAACAAAATCATACGACATTTCGTCAACTTACCCGGTTGCACATGTACCTCTAATTTTGAAAATACTAAGCTGTCTAGGTGCGACCAATATTCCTTAAGCCCAGCGAGGTCGGAAACATTAACGTAATGTATTATTTGGTCCACAATTTTGTCAACTCTAAATCCTTTGTCTTTATCAGCCTTCAAATCGTTATCAAATGCTTTAACAGTTGATGTAAAACCACGAAAAAGTAAGTATTCTCGTACTAATTCATCCACAAATTGTATATGAGCCATTATTTATACGATATGGAATGATATAAATGTTATTTATAAGAATTAATATTTATTTACAAATTGTTACAGACATTGAATTGGAAAGTTCATTTTGACATATTTGACAGTTCTGGACCTACAGGTTATAAAACAATACACAAGGACCAGATAAGCATCAAAATATTAATGCCATTTTTAGGGATAGTATTTACGCTTTTTGTACAATGACATTTGGATAAAACTTGTCTGTTGTCACTTCTGTCAATGTCAATATTTAGTTCACAAAATTGTCAAAACATTGAGAAACATTTTGTGTTAACTTTTTGCAATTTGTGTTTTGCCTTCTTTTTGCAAATTACCTCGTAATGGATCAGTGGATTAAAGAAGGTTTATCAAGAATTTTAGATTTTCAAATTCCTGAAGATCTAATCAAGTGAATAACTTTTAAATAGTGTTTTAAGTACATTTTTTTCTATATTTATGTATTATTTTTCATATTTTCAGCTATATTAATTCTATTGAAAACGAAAATGACCTAAACGAATATATGAAAACACTTTTGGATTTCGACAATTCTCAACACAAGTCATTTTTCCTAGAACTTTGTAAAAAGAAGTTTCCCAATAGGGGTATGATATAATATATTTTGAGTAACTATGCATGTTTAATACTAGAATTAACAATAAATTGTACAGCGTTTTTAAATTATTCAATATAATATCAGGTAATACAATATCAAGGCCGCAAAAGAAAAAGATTTCAAAAAATAAACAACAAGACTTCTTAAGTGCTGTAGATCCACCACCGCAAGTGACACAGGTCCCTGAAGCAGAGAATAAAGCTAAAAAGAAGACTAAATATGTCAACTTGTATTCACAAGAGGGAAAGAATGCACAAGTTGTTTTACTTAAAGGTAAGGTAATTATTTAAAGATAAACAGAATGATCACAGATTAAAAGTGTCTGTTTTCTAGTAGTAGTATACTATTTCGAGAGACCACACTATGAAATAAAATATATTCTAAACTGCATAAGAAAAATAATCTTAAGGTTCCATTTACTTTAAATAGTGTGGCCAAATGAATTTATGTTGACACATTTTTATAACCTCTTTTTTTAATTTTATTGACTTTGTCAACAATTGGATAATGCAATTTTTATGAGCATAGTCTTATAACACTAATTTAAAATTAAACAATAATAGGGAGGCACCATTGTGACTGTCAAGCATCCAAACATGAGTTGATTAACAACTGCCTGCAGTGTGGCAGAGTTGTCTGCAAACAGGAGGGATCAGGCCCTTGTCTGTTCTGTGGAAATCTTGTAAGTATTTACATTAGTAATAAAACTGCTACAACACTTGTTGAAGTAGAAGCCCATTGGGCAGATTGAATCCATTGATTGTTTCCCATTGGGCCAGTTGTCTGGATTCGGGCTACTAATCAATCTTCACCTAACCCCTATATTTCGAATGGTGTATCTCCACTAACTTAACTAATATAATCTAAACTAAACTTACTTTATGACAATATAGCCACCTCTCTCATTCTCTTTGAAAAAATCGAGATAGTAACAGTGTTCATATACATGTGGCATATCATTTGAAATTCACAGCTGTAGTGGGTTTTTCATAATAATTTATAAAACTTTTTGGTACTCACAATATTTCTTCTTTTATTCAGGTGTGCACACCTGAAGAGCAGAAAGAGATCAATGCTAAGACAAAAGCAAGTGCTAAACTTGTGGAATCTTTAATGGAGAGGAACAGACCTAAAGGTTGGGAGGCGGCTGTATCACACCGGAATAGATTGCTAGAGTATGATCGTACTAGGTAAATGTTTGTTTCTTATTATTTTTAATACCATCATTAATTGAATGCTGGCAACATTGACTTAATAAGTTCTTAATATCTACTAGTTAATTTCATTTTACTGTACTTAATGGCTTACTAGCAGTCACCCTCGACTCCGTCTGCTCTGTATTTAAAAAAAAAAACTTAATTAGTAGCCTATGGGTTCTTCCAGGCTATGTCCTACATCTATGCCAAATTTCAGGGAGATCAGTTAAGCCTTTCAGGAAATACCTTCAACCAAACATCCAGTATGATAGGATGTAACAAGTAATTATTGGAAACACACAAATCTTTTTAGCTTATATTACATAATTTGGCTCTTAGTTTCCTTCGTTCATTTCCTCTTGACACTATTGGCAACACTATAAATAAATTGTCTATGGATTATAGCGAGCGTCGTACTCGCGTGACAGACGACGACAGCGACTACTTCAGCGCATCCAGTGTGTGGCTGAGTGCGGCGGAGCGCGACAAGCTGACCAAATACCAACAGTCATTACATGACAAGAAGCATGCTTCTAGACTTACTAAGAAGATGACCTTTGACTTTGCTGGTAATACGGATGTTATTATTGTGAGAAATATTGTAACTGCTACATTCTGTTTTATATTGAATAAGCTAGGGCTTGACCACGATCCCACTCACAGTTAGTCTTTACCTTTATTTAATAGTTAAAGTCTCGTCTTGAATATTTTTATACTAAATTAGCACTAAAATCTGCCCTTAGAAGACATATCTGAGTCTTAAAAATAAGGTAGTCAATCGAAATATGGTGTATGTCTATGTTTGATGTTTAAACATAACGGTTTCTTTGTTTCCAGGTCGTCAAGTGATAGAAGATAATACCATAGACTACGAAGTA